CATAAGTGGCACACAATATCACTTTGAAATGGCGTGCTATAGATATGACCGATACTGTACATATATGTATGTATACATAAACAGCAAGAATAAAAACCAAGTGGACTCATCTATGAATTCAGATTAGACAGCTGGCTAAATACATACATATGTATGTATATGTGTAGAATGCAATCATGTTGCTGCCGCTATGGCTAGCAAGAAAACAGAGCTTGCAATTAACGCGTTTACTCGACTGCGCTCACATTTTGTTGCACCGGCTTCGAACTGCCAATTATTTTCAATCGCACAGCAAACACACATTAAACCCTATCAACTACTTTCGTAATTTATTACACAGTTTTTTTTTTAAACTTTTCCGCAATGAATGCAAGGTTCGCACATTGCAGCTGTGCGTACATACATACATACACATACATATGTATGTATGTATGTGGCTACTATTGCGCTGCGCGTAATGCGTTGCACGACCCAGCGCCTACATACATGCATACATATGTATAAAAATGTATAAGTAAAGGGTGATCGAATTAAAAAAGCTGACTTCCAAAATGTACTAATTAGGCGATCCACTAGACGTCTTAGGCGTCGTATTGTCTTAAAGTCGTAAAACTTTCAAACGTAAAATAACGGTTAAAATGCATTTAGGTTATATGCAACTAAGTCAAACCATTTTTACCGTTATTTCACATTTCACAATTTAACGACTTTAAAACATCAAGACGCTTGTAAACTCCCTAAATGTAAAAGTATTAAGTAAAATTTTACCGCGGTATCCAAAGGGCATGTAAACACAGTTATGGTTTGATTATGCATACTTCGCATAACTTCGCATAACTTCGCACAACCATTTGTACCAGTGCACTAAAAGTGTAACTTAAGAAAATGTGAAGCAAAATCTAAACTCAACAGATCGCTAAGTTTTTAAAAGTTCTGCTAATTTCTGGGTAATGGAATACATACAAAATACATACAAAGTACATACGAAATTACAGTTTGAAGTTTGTGCGAAGTTGTGCGAAGTTATGCGAAGTATGCATAATCAAACCGTAACTGTGTTTACATGCGTACTTTGCGAAGCAATTCTCATTTTATTTGATTTCATTATTCAAAAATAAGAAGAAAATTTTAGTATTTATTTTTTTAATAGACAAAAATATATTTTATAACACTACGACATTTTCCTTTTTTTCAATCTTAGGAATTGATGAATCGAAATTTTCTGAAAGTCTAGTTTTCTCAACTAAAATTGATTTAAATGCAAATATTTATATATTAATAAGATCACTCTGGGGTCTTTGCCTTGATGTTAGTAAGGTAAAGTCCAAACAATGTTTTTCAACAATGTTGCCAAACACTGTTTCTTTGCACCAAAGCGCACCCAGTGGCCGTTTTTGGTAAAAATAAATTGCAGATTCAGATTCCTTGTACCCCAAAGGCCTTTTTGGTGGTATAAATATTTGCATATAAAGCAATTTTAATTGTTTTAAATCATGAACTTCAATTAAAGAAACACTAAAATTCGCCAACCTGGGAAAACTGAGAAAACTGTTTTCAGTGTTATGTAAAATCGACTTGTCTAATGTTGTTATCACTTTTCATATGTATGTACAAAAAAAAAACTACGATTTACTTAAATTGGCGAACACGAAATGCTTATCGGCACTTTAGCGAAAGCAATTTAAGTTAACATTTTTTTTAATTTAATTTAATATGAGCACGGACAGAAGCAAAAAAAAACATTTTTCACTTATCTAAATTGCTGGTGAAACCGGCAGTTAAAATATCAATCAAATATGATCGAAAAAATAAAATTTTCTGTCCGGCTTGGACATTTTAAGTTCTCGTTCATTTGGGCATTCCGTTTTATCCTGCGCCCTTTACAGTTTCTTCCTCTTATTTGGCACTACAACCTTTGGAGGCAGACCAAAAAACTGCGCCAATTGCCTCTCACTTATGCAAAGAATCGCCCGTTTTTCATCCCGACTGCAGACAGGTCTTTCTGCACTTGGTCCTTTCATTATGTACGTTGGTGCTTTTGCTTTCGTTTTCCACCCGGCATCAGCAACAATACTAACGAGCCAGCACATTTCTTTTGCAGATGGTGTTATTATTTTCTTCCACCGCGACACCGTCAGCAAAAAAAAATATCAAAAATCAACGGGAATTCTTCGCCACATGATACTGCACTTTATTATGCTAGAATTTGTTGGTGAATTATTCTACAAAGTCTGAAATTTAGACTTACATGGTGTTTGTGAGATACTGGAGCTGGATTTTTATAAAAAATAATAAACATGAAACAAGTCCAAAAAAATAGTCCAAACTGGTCAAAATATCGTGTCCGTATTATTTTTCACTTGACTAATTTAGTCTGTCAATTTTCGGTTCCGATTTTCTTTGCTTTTCGTTTATTTTTGCACAGGTAACTACCATACCAATGTTCAAATATGATTCCAATTACATCACCCTGTATTAAAATCCACTCGTGCATATGCACATACGTACTCGACCATATGCTTGTATGTCAGCACATTCGAACGCTGCTTCACAGACGGTGCTTCGCCGCAACACCGCACTCGTTCCGGCCTTTGGTCTCTTCGGTTTTGGTCATCATTGTCGCACTTGTGCATCAATATGCAGCCGATCTATGTACATACGTCGCATCCACGGGCACTTACTCAGTTCATCATAATTATTGTTGAGCACAGTTGAAAGGCGGTCGAGGCATTGAGGCGTCGCGTCGAAGCACAAACGCAGATACGCGCCGAACATTTGCCACACTTGCCACAAGCGGCATGCATTCACTTGCGCATTGCATATTTGTGGCGCGTTGCTTCATTTCCTGACTACTTCGAAGCTTGTTCGACGTCGCCGTTTGCCACTCTCCACTTACATACGACCGAATGCATGCCTGCCTGTCTACTTCGCGGTTCACCCTGCCCACCTGCTAACTTTGTGCTGCTGCTAACCATTTCACACGCCAAGTCAAATGAGCAGTTTATGGGTTTTATGAGTGTGCCACTTGAAGACGCGTTTTTGTATTTCACATTTTTATTTGTACTTCTTTTTTCGTGCTTCCATGTCGATTTGTTTGTTTCTGCTTTTTTTGTTTTTTTTTTTTTGGTCTTTACTATTTGGTTAATGTCGTTACTGCGCTTCACCATGTTTTAATCGAGCAAAACAACAACAGCGAGCTACTCGGGGGCAACATTCACTTTTTATGGTACCAGTCAACTAACCGCCTGTTTACTGCCTGCCATCAGTTCCAAATATTTTTACCTCTTGCTGCTTGCCGCTTGCTACCGCTGGAGCTGCTAAAATACGCAATAGCACAGAGATTTTCTCTAAAACCATGATTGCATTCGCATTAGCGAAAAGATGTGCGCATGCGCGCATCTGTGCATCATCCTAGTGATGTCAAGAAGGATAAACTAATTTTGGGATTTTCGTATCTTTGCAGAGAAATACATCTGTATGTATGCATGATTTGTCTAATAATTACACCTTCACACTCATGTAAATATCTACATACGAGTAGGTACATACATATATGTACATATATTTATAAATTGTATGTTGTGTGCAGTCCAATTAGCCACCATCAATTTTATTAACGCAATCCTACCTGCCTTAGGTATGTTAAAAAATGGAGTAGCAATTGCGCATTTGTGAAAATTTATAGCCTACTCTTAGTTTCAACACAAATAAGAGCGCGAGGCACACAAATGTGCAGGCGGGTCGCCGTGTTCGGGTACTGCGCATGAAGAGTAGATCCTTGGCGTAAAATCTCTGATTTTCGGGATGCATCAATCTGAGTACCTTCGAAAAAACTCTAGCTACTTCAAGATTAACACAAACAAGTGTCTATAGGCCAACCCTGAACGCCGGATATTTTTCCAAAAGATTTCTTGACCAAATTGGCAATGCAGAAAAACTTTGCAATTTAAATACTATTTTCAGTGTTGTACTCGTGTCGCCTAAGGAGTTGTGATGCGAATCGCAGTTACAGTCGACTTGCCACACAACGGTTTTTGCTACATTTCCATACGCACCATTATTGTACACCCTTTAAGTTGGTTGCGACGTGATTTTTTCGGATGAATCTTCACAATGACTTTATAAATACAATTTTTTTTTTTTTGTTTAAATTCCGAGCAGTCACGTAAAATATTGATTTCAACGATCATCTCTTTTTTAGCATTGCGAATGATTCTTAATCATTTCGAATTGGTAAAATTAGTGAAATCAATTCCATTTTGGGGCGAATGTTTAAAAGCTGTTGAAACAGATTGTACAGGAGATTTAATAAAAATACGTGCAACAAAATACAAAAATGAAATTGGCCTAGATCCTGGGTGTCGGCTCATTTTGGCTGGCATCCAGAACAATGTTCCTGTGAAAATAAAAAAATGCATATTATCAGAACCTTTCTGGTGTCTATTCGCGCAAAATAAAACTGGAGAAATTTTCTCGCAAAGAAAGGTGGCTCGGCTGAAATACATTTGTCTACAAAAAGCCTGCAACCACACTGCGAAGCAACTGGTACCGAATAGAGAAGAAATGAATAAAAACTTTTACTAGAAATAGTATACATACTTTAAATTTTAATGTGAAGAAAGAAATTGTTTCACTGTTATTAATTATTGTATAAAACAGTAGTTCGATATAATGTCTGAAAGCTGCATGCTCATTTCTGGGGTAGCATCCAGTTTCGACATGAATTTGTTTTTTGTACATATAAGTGTAGGCGGAAAACCCTGTTGACGGAGTACGATGTGACAGAAGGAAGCAAAGTTTAGATAGCCTTTTTAGCGACTTCATGGTATTTACTCTTAACACTAACCCAAAACTCTTTCAGAGACACACACAGATTCAAATGTGTGTGTTCAATATCGAAGTACTCTGGAGATCTATGAATGCTTCGAAAATGGATTTTGCACCAAACCGATATTACTACTACCATCCGAAAAATAATCAGACTAAGATTTCAGGTGATTTACCAAGTGCCTAGTTATGACACTTCACATTTCATTTGACAATTCATCGCGCTCCTTGTAGAAAGTTGTGTACAACCCTTTGGCTACAGCGGCCAACAACACATACCGGTTAGAAAAAAAACAAGCTAGCAAGCGCAAGCTCAACGCTCTTATGCAGGTATGGCACTCAGTACGGCAATCATACCAACTGCGGGTACATATGTACATATGTATACTTATTCATACCAAGATTAATCTCGCGGAACCCCGGTGAATTGTCTACGGAACCCTTGGGTTCCGCGAAACACACTTTAAGAAGCTCTGCAGTGTATAGCAAATGTAAAAATTTGTAAATTAAAATTTCTCAGGACTAATTCTATGATTCGAAGAAAAATCATTTTTTACGTTTTAGTATCTGTACAGTATAGTTTTATTCTTCAGTAAGTGTCGACAAAATGGTTGGGACTGCAAATTAAGGAGTTTTAAGATAGTTACTATTCATTCCGCCAATCGCTAGTTGATTGACGAATCAAAAGCTACTTTGCATTTGCCCATATTTTGACCGAAGAGTAAAACATATTCTTATTCTTTGATTATTTTCTTTGACTTTTCAGGATCTCAACCACCAAACTGCAAGTTATTTGGAAGCAAGCACAATAACGGCAGAGATAATATTTACAGCACATATTCAAGCGCTAAAAGTGGCAACGGCTACAACAACAATAACAATTACAATCGGGATCGCTTTACATCCTCTGCATCAAGTTCCTCCTCCTCATTCACCACATCGACTCAGTTGCAATCAAATCGACAGTATTCATCACCATTCTCCTCATCAACGGTTTCTAAACTGCCTATAAATCCATTCTTAGCAACTTCACCTTTTCTTTTACCTTGCCGGCGCGGGAAGGAAGAGGTTAACAGTAAAAGGAGTAATGTGTCAAATAACAACAGCCACAGCATCAGCAGCGCGCATTTCAACCAAAGCTTTAATCAAGCGCCTCTTCAACATCATCAACGAAACACTGCAAGCGTAGTTCCTCCACCCTCCTCCACATCGCCCGCCCTATCGACCACTGCAGAAACACCATTTTGCAATCATCTAACAGCCGCTGCTGCCGCCGCTGCAGCCCAGAGAACATTTTTGCACGACTACGATCGAAAATTTAGTTTGCTAAGCCTTTTCAAAAATCCCTATAAGTATACAACGGACCGAAGATCTTCATCATTTAGCTCCAGAGTTTGGGGCTCTAATGATGTGGTACTGCCTTCAGCGCCGTCAAATGTTACTTCGATGCTGACGTCTACGTACAGCAAAATTTCTCAAGGACCTGCTAGTTCCAACACGATATTGCCATGGAAGATAATGTCTTCAGCATCTCAACCTAACAGTTTGCATCAATCGACTATGAATCCCACCTTCCAAGAACCATCGAATGCCGAGAGTCGCAAGAACGCTTTCAGCAGTATGGTCTTACGGGGGAGCGGCGGCATGTTCGGACGATCTGATGACTCAGGCGGGATGATTAACAACATTGGCTTTAGTGATCTCTCTAAAAATCGAAAAGTGCACAAATGTGACACTGAGGGTTGTGATAAAGTGTACACAAAGAGTTCTCATCTGAAGGCGCACAAACGCACTCACACAGGTAATAAGCTTGCCCAAATACATAATGTCAATATACATATGTAATTATGACTGTACATTGTTTATAAGCCTTCTTCATCCGTTAGGTGAGAAACCATACGTGTGTAACTGGGAAGGATGTATTTGGCGGTTTGCAAGATCAGACGAATTAACGCGTCACTATCGAAAACACACCGGCGTCAAGCCCTTTCGCTGCCAACTCTGCACGCGCTCCTTCAGCCGCTCCGACCACCTGTCGCTGCACATGCGCAGACACTAAATTTCAAGCGAACAACTAACTACTCGCAAGTCGGCAGCAGCACAGCGGTACGATATACATACATACATACATACATAAGAATAATGTTTGTTTGTAATCATCAAATGCACTTTATTTTAGCAAATTTTAGAGAATTTTTTAAATTAATGAACTTAGCCAATTATAGTCTCGTAAGTACAGCATTGAATGAGGCTACGCTACCCACAAGTTAAATGACTCTATGTAAACATACATACATACATACACAGAAATCATTGTTAAGTTGTGTACGATTTTCCATATGGAAGTGCCTTTTTTCATTTGATTATTATGTATACATACATATGTATATAAAATATATATGTATACGATGTATAGGCCCATCGGTATCTATTTAATAAAAATACTTACAAAAAAGGTTACTACTAAATGTTGCTAAAGCAAACAAAAGGAGAGTGTACATTATTAAGTAAATGCAAGTATATGTACATACATACATATAAATATATTAAACAATTTAGAAAGCATAATGAATGAATAATGCCTTTTCATTCTTAACAACGAAGGGAGGTTAGCGAACCGCTCCGCGTCCGGTAATTTTTAATTGCTTTCACCTGCAAGAATGGATAAAAATAGCGTCCTCAGCCTTAGCACGTTCTTGTATGTACATTAGAACGTACGTACCACCATACAAGCAAACAATAAAAAGTTCGCTAAACATTTCGAGCGTACTTAATTAAACACATTTATCGGTTGGAATAATATAAAAGCCTTAAGGTTAAATTAGTGGCGACATACCATAACGCCATAGCCATAACCATTGCCATAACCGTAATCACATTAACGATCTTCGTAATCATAAACAGCTGATTTTACATAGTCAACATGTCGGTGTTGCCAGACGCGAAACAAGACGCTGTAAATGGGTAACATCGTAGAATTTTTGCGCAGAACTTCTTTGTTCATTCATAAGATATTAATATTTATAAAATCAAAAAATTTTAATTCAACCGTTTATATCTTCTTTATATTTTTGCGCCAAATATGTAATTTTGGTACAGTTGAAATCAGCATGAGAAGTTCTATTGAGCCAAATTTTTTGGTATTTCCATAGCTAAATGAACAATATTTTTTTTCTGCGTCTGGCAGCACGTTCTTACGAGCGATTTAGATATTAGCTAATTATGGTTATGGTGGAAAACCAAAATTCAATTGATGTTTATGCTTTGGCGTTACGGTGTGGCACCAGTAATCGAATACAGTGTTGGTCATAAGGTTGGTTGGAACAGCTGTTTTATATGGTTATGGCTATGGTTATGGCTATGTCACCGCTAATTTAACCTTTTTAATATAATGATGCGTTAGTTCGATGTGAATTGAAATCTCGACTCAAGACAAGCATCACAAAAATAACTTTGTGCACATCGCTGGCTGAGTGCGAGTTCGACCTATCTCGGCAGCCGGTTCGAAAACGGCCTATCTCAGAAAAAATTTCGCCCTATTTCAGAATTTTCCATATCTCAGACTTTGGTTCAAAAACGCCCTATCTTAACTGAAAATATATAGAAAATAATTGGATAGGCCTTTTTTGAATCGGCAGCTGAGATAGGGCGTTTTGAACCGAATTCTGAAATAGAACGTGCAATTCTGAGATTTGGATTTTTCGAACTGGCTGCTGAGATAGGTCGACCTTCCACTCAGCCGTCGATATGTACTACATACATAAATCAAACCCCTAGGAATTTTTTTATTGAAACTATGCAGATTTTAATTTAAAATTGCTTTTATTATATTTATAGTATGACTAATAACAGACATATATATATACATATGTAACTACTTGCATACATATATGTAAATACATATTGCACACCTGGATCTAAAGTGGGCTAACTCAAAAATAACTGTTTGTGCATCGTACAGATTCAACGCAAAAACCGGTATAACAGTGGTTATTTAGATTTAGTTAGGGTATATAATCAGGAAGAAACAAAATATTTACATTAATTGGAGGTAAGTCCTATATGTAAATTGATTTATGCAAAAAAATCTTCCTACACTTTTTTTAAGTTGATTGCTGTTTAGATATATGTAGGTGTGCGATATGCACATGTAATATGTATGTAATGTACTTACAAGAAAAAATATACTGCCTTAAATTAAAATTCAAAAACATGTACTTAAATTTAGTTCCTTTCCAGTTCACAAACATTAAAATTCACGGCAGGTCAGTTCGTATTGCCAATGTTTTAAAGTATATTTTGATTGCTTCTCGTCTCGTTTATTTCTTAATGCTTCTTGTTTTTCATCCTCATCCAACTTCTCTTCGGAAGTTTTATTTCCTGTCGGCTCGCGTCGTGCTCTCTCACTGAAAGAAAAATTATCTGATTTTTGACTTTTGTTGTTGTGTTTGTCCATAATCGACGTAAGGGTTTTTCGAAACCAGTTGGGTTTCTCAATCCATCGTCGTCATAAGCGAAAAACTGAAGTGTGCGATCGTTCACGGATATGATCGCGATGAAGGATATACACGCAGAGCGCTAAAACGCTCAAAAGTGCTGCAATGAGACTTAATAGAACAAAGAAGCCCTTTCGGTAGCGCACTGCATCGGCTGTAGCCTCCTTCAACTGCTTGCGCTGGCCTAATGCGACATTATTGTTATCATAACCACTCTGATCTTCGTATACTGGTACATTCGGAATAAAAATTTGCCAAAAGCTGGCAACGCGCTTCAAATGCGCAGCATATCCAAAATCCGTCTGATTCTTTAGAAATAACTTCGATTGGCCATTATCAATGCCTCTTCTATCATTCCTATTCGTCCTCGACAAACCATTCTCGGGAATTTCCTTCCCATTTTGTAGCATTTGTTCAATTTCAGCTACATTTCCAGCAAAATCCAAAAAATAACTTCTTCTCGTTTCCAATTTTTCTGTCTCGCCAAAGTATTTAACGAATTGGTGCTCATTTGTGTATGGCAGCCAATCGTTTGGCTCATAAGATGACGTAGATTTGGCCATGTCACTCTTTATGAAATTGATCAGAGCTTTTCGGAATTTTCGAGAAAGACGATCCTCTGCTGTGGTCAGGCGCCTTCTGGATATTTGCTGGAACATGCTTGGTCCAAGAAGCAAAAGTAAATCCGAAGTGTGGGACGCACCACCGAACCAGTTCACCTTTCCACGTATGTCCATTGAGTTCGAGGCGTCGAATACGTATGCGTATACTTTCGGAACATCACTAGAATTTCTCGAGGCTAAAAGATTGAGTGTTCGATAGAAAGGCAGCTCGAAAAAATATTCAGATATAAGTCGTTGCATTGAATACAAGAGGCTTTTAACACTACTACCAGCGTCCCCACTAAAATAGAACCAATTCAGGACGTACTTCACTTTATTTCTCACCTCCATGTGAAATCTTTGCAAGACACTTGGAATCAGAGTGAAATTCACATAATCACGAATCGCCTCATAGCCCTCGCGCGCCAAATTTAGCCAGTGTTGTTGTAGAAAGGCGCCCTCATTAGATGTGATGCCGCACAGTATGGGGGGAAGAGCAGATGATACGCTGACATTTCTTAAAAAATCATCGACATCTGCCGGCAATATAGGGCCGATGTGGAGAGTGCCATTGCCATGATCATATACACTCTCAAAGGCATTTAGAAGATCACTGACGCTTTTTAATTTCAGACAACGTGCAAGTTGAGCGCTTGGTCTTTCGAATTGGCAGCCTAGCTTGCTCACCAACACATTCGAAGCTTCCACAACCCTGGATGGGGTATTCAATGACGTCATAAAATCACCACTGGACATAAGTATTAGCTTAGATACAAGTTTCGGTTCATCCGCAGTATTTGCAAGAGCGTGTGCCAAGGCACATGGAGCACCACTTGTGCCGTGGCCCAGCAATGTTATTCGCTTCGGATCCCCTCCGAAATGCTGTATGTTGTGTTGTATCCAATGGAGAGCCAACTGTTGATCTTGCAGGCCCAAATTTCCCGCCAACACTCCATTATCCAAAGCGATCCAACCGAATATATTGCTGCGGTACTGCATAGAGACCACGACGACATTCTCTAGAGCAAAATCTATACCAGACACTCGATTTTGAGACCAATCGTAAACCATATTCTCTCCAGTGATAAGCACCAGCACGGGTTTCTGGCCAGTATTTGCAGCCTTCAAACAAAAATATACAAAATGTTATTCAATCACTGTGCTACGGCCTTTTCAATATTGCCAAGAGGAAGAGGAGCCACAAAATGCGACACATCTGTGCGATTGAATGGCGAAAAGTGATGGCTGAGTAAAATTATGTGCAAGTAACAACACGAACCAAAAAAATAAAAAAAATCTACACAGTTGTGAGCTTAAAACAACAAAAAAAAACAAATCATAAATGTTAACACTACTAAGCAAAGCAACTACCCCCAAAAAACGAGTTTTTTCTACACTTAATTCAAATAATTTTTGAAAATCTTCTTCCAACACCAACGTCCCCGTGAATGATAGTGCAATATGATACAGAAATGAGCTCTTCAGAATTGCAACATATGTATGTATATACATACCTCAGATACCCAAATATTCAAATATAAGCAATCTTCATCCATTAATGCTGCCCGAGGTAAGCTCCCATCAACTTTCTCATCATAAATTGTATTCGAGGGCTGTGGGCAAAGTGGACGCATATTCATAGCCGTTAAAGTACGATTCCAGCCTCGGTGTGCCAAAGGGGGCTACATTTGAAAACAAAAATCAAAAGCAAAAACAAAAGTATTTATGTACATTACATGATGCAAAGTAAGAACATCCCGCAGGCGTCAAATTTTAACCAGCTATAACTTAGGAACCGTATGTCGCATATCTTCGAAATTTGATGTGAAGACATAACTACTCCTAAATTAGGCGCTTATAGTGAGGTAAATATAAATGAGTTTGTACAAGGGTACACCTGCCTATGCAATTTGTCTGATGAATACTACATCATGTCGTTCAATTAAAAACAAAAATAATCAGTTCTTACACTTGCTTTCCCGCAAATACGAAAATCTCAATTTATGAATTTATTTTAAAAACAAAGTGATTTCATGAACAAATTAACATAAAAAAATTAATATCCCAGATTCATATTAGCCAGTCTCTTAAAACTTTTCGCGTTCTGGAATGAAATCCTTAAACATTTTTTTGTGGATCGCATTTCAGGGTCCAGCAATAGTCAGCAAGCATGTGTAGGTTTAATTTCCTATCATACCACTTCTCCATAGTAGCTATGTCCTGGTGGAATCGTCCACCATGTTCTTCGTTAGTGTTTTTTGTTTACTAAGTTTTTTTTATAATTTTTCACCCCTTTCTACTCAATCCATCGACATGAGATCGAATCCGACAGGCGAATTGGATTTTCAGTAATACGTGGTTTTTTCTTCGGAAAAACTGCGTCCAAATTTTATTTTGAATAATTTTTTTTTTTTAATTTGCCATAATCGACGCTTCAACAGTTCTTTCTCGAAAACTGGACGTGCTAGAAAAGTTTTGTACATGCACTTCAAATCAGCATCAAAAAATCTATAAGATGACGTCGGCCCCATTTTTGAAATAAAATACGACGACATTTTGTTGAACGATGTAATTTTCACTTTACAAAAAAAAAAATCATATTTCACTTAAATTGCTTTCGTGGAACCCCAGGTTAATATAATACAAGGTTACAACATCAGCCATCTCCGTCATCTTGATGACGAAGACGGCTCAATTCTCGGAGTTGCCAGATTCCTAAAAAATTTATTATAGAAATGAAGGACGCTTAACCACTCCCACGGAATGTATGTTAGTGCACATTACAGCCCTGAACACAATTTTTAAGGAGAAAAAATGAAAAGTGCTTTTCCTTTTGGAATGTTATTTGCAGATACATGTGACTACAGTGATAAGATAAGGTAATCTAGCCGGAGTTGAGGCGCACATAGACCGGAATGAATTTTTACAACGCTTTTATCAACTTGCAATGTTGTGTGCCCAGACAGCTATAAAAGCTTTGCTTTGCAAAGTTCCTATAAAGTCTTGACATCAACCTCGTTGAGTCGAGAGGTAGATGTCGCCCTATGCACTACATACGCTACAGCGGTTATGGACTACACGCCACTTCTTTAAATGAAATTAGTTGGTGCTCGTATGTAGTTGTGCACGTATCTTCCGCATGAGAAGATGGTGAGCAAAAAAAAATTTAAAAATATAAGAAACTTTTTAGTTACTTGTATAACGATTTTAATTCGGGTCGCGTGTTTGGGCACAGCATACCAAAATCATTGTACAAATAACTAAACCGTACTCGAAATGTAATTTTTCAACTACATCATTTATTTACTTTTTTTTTTTAATTATAGGATGCAACCGGCAAGGATACTATAGTTTCTAATTCAGGTTTCTATATTCCCAGCAGACAAACTACGATCGCATCACAACACCATCAACTCCAGAATCGGCTCCAAATATTGCAATCGCTTAACAGTGCATGAATGCAGCAGAAGCCACTACCCTAACCGCAATTGTGAAGCAATGTTAAAGAGCCCCAATTTAATTTAAAAAAAAAATTCTGGAAAATCGGTGACAATTAATGCCATTTGATTTAACTCTCTTCCTTTTCTACCGAAATATACATTACATATAGAGCCCTTACACACTTCAGACTTTATCGGCCGCCGAATTAGTTGGGCTCCATTGTCTTTCCATTGCATTTTCGGGCGCGAATAAGTTAACGTAGTGTGCGCACCTCCATACATCTTCATGTATTTCAAACGAGCCCCAACTAAATCGGCGGCCGATAAAGTCTGCAGTGTGCAAGGGCTATGTAATGCATATTAATGAAGCGAGTTTAATCAAATGGCATTAATTGTCACCGATTTTGCAGAAGTTGTTTTAAATTCAAATGCATAAAAATTATAAATTTCTTTTAGTTATAAATTCTTTAAAAAAAATTAAACTTTTTTCAAAAATTTCCATGTTTTGTGTGCGGCTTTGTGCGAGGGCAGAATACATGTTCGACGTTCACAAAGTGTCAGCCAAGGCATTTTTTTGTGAGTGGTTAAAAATTCTTGTTGTTAATGCTAACTAAAAGAATATAATTTAATTACTTTTCTGTTTGTTATAAATTCTTTCAAAAAAAAAAAAACTTTTTACAAAAAAATTCCATGTTTTGTGTACTGCCTTAAGCGAGTGCAAAATACAAGTTCACAAAGTTGTAAGCCAAGTTCGATTTTTTTAAAAATCGTGTGTCAATTATTGTTGCTAATGCTAATTACAATAAAGGTAGTTTAATTACTTTTCTTCTAAATATAGATTATTTTAAATAAATTCACTTTTGTTATAAAAATTTTAAAGTTTTGTGTACTGCCATATGCGAGTGTAAAACATAAAGTTGTTAGCCAAACTTATTAAAAAAAAAAATGTTTGAGAATCATGAATGTTTACACATATTAAAATTAAATATGAGTAGTCCACTTGCAAAAAGCGCTATGTAAAATTTTTTCGATTTTTAGTTTTTGGAGGATTACGTACCAGTATTTATAGTAGTTTCATGTCCACTAACAACACAGAGCAAAATCTTTCTGAAATTCTGAAAAAATAGCATCAAATGTTAACTCTTCTTCCAAAAGTCGCTATCATACTTGTTTATAAACTTTCAAAAGTATACATCTTCTGATGAACTTAGAAAACTGCTTTAGGTCGTATAGACTGTTAATGTTATCTTATGTCATGTTATGTTATGTTACAATTTTATAGGGCTCCTATTTATCCAAATTTTCAGGTAATAATAAAAAAGATTCAATTTAAATGTTACTTGTTGTCGTAGATGTTTTTTCGAATTTATGGCTTTCTGTTATAAAATCACATAACGCTGTTTGCAAGTGGACTACTCATATAATTTAATTACTTTTCATTTGGTTATAAATTCTTAAAAAAAAAATAAACTTTTTTCTAAAAATTTTGAAGTTTTGTGTACTGCATACAATCGAGACTAATTGATCTCCATTAGTACCCGTATGAGAATAGTTGCGACTAATTGATGACCAACTGTACCCGATAGAGTAGTCTCGGAATACTCTCTTTAGAGATTAGTCGCACAATTTTTGGCAGGGTATGTATGTATATGGGTGTTTCCATGAAAATGTAAACAGAAAATGCAAGCAAATGAATTCAAACAGATTTATAACTTTGAATTTCGTATTCAGGTTTGGAAAACGCGAAACGGTGAAGAGAAGAACTGAAAAAATTTAATTAAAAATTTAATTTAGTATGTGTTACTGTAAAAATATTGTATGTGGGAAAAATCTGTCTCATACGTTATTATATTTTTTTTTTTATAAAAACTAACCAGAGATAATTTGTATTAAAAGATGGAATGATTGTAAAGGTACATTATTTAGCTTAGCTTAGGAATTTTTAAAGAAAAGAGAAACTCCCATGATTCGCAGGCTTTCGCATATATGTATATGTGCCTTAAAAACACTTCTTTTTTTGTCGCGTACGTTATCACCTTGTTTTGAACAGATATTTTGCACGCCGAAGTTTATTATTATTATTTATTATTATTATTTATTTATTATTACTATTTATTTATTATTATTATTATTTATTATTATTATTATTTATTATTATTATTATTATTTTTCTTAAACATAGTCCCCTTTGTGTTGCAACATAACCGTAATCTTGTTTTTCAGTAACTTCTATTTTCGAGAGATTTATGTTACTCCATAAGCGTACGAATGTCGGTTACGGCTGCATAAAAACACCCATATGCATGTGTGTGTGCCCCAATCTATTAATATCGTTGAATTTTGTTGAATTTATGAGATTGAAAATGAAAAGCGAGGGGCGCATGTAATAGGCCTGAAAAATCTGATTAAAAACTTAAAAATTTAGATGAAACTTTGCAGATTTTTTATAATTTTAGCACAAAGTTTGAAATGAGGATTTACATGCTACTTGTTATATGATGAGCTAGACTTTTATGAAAAAAATAATAAACTTTAAATAGACAAAAGCAAAATTGCCACAGTTGGTCAAAACATTGCTGGCTTAATTAGCTGATCGGAAGAGTACATACAAACGTACCATGTGATACAAATATAGTTGGTAGTAATAAATTAAGGGTTAGAAACTTGCCGAATGCTCACGTTGAAAACATGAAATGATAATTTACATACATAAGTTTGTATGCATACATATACATAGTACATATCGTTAGTATAGTATGGAAATGGCTTATCTCACAACGTCACTGAATTGCAAAAATGCTACAACTAAAATTTTTTATTCCATAAAACGATGTATGTAGGGACTTGTGATTCGATGAAAAGCATCATAATGAATGAAAAAGTGAATTTTGATTTTTAGTTAGTTACGCCTTTTTGTATTTCAGCGACGTTGTTAGTTACGCCCTTTCCATCTTATATTACGATATGTATATACAATCTGTGTATATGGCGTACAAGTAAATACATACCTACTTATGCATATAAATATTGTTGCCTTCATATAGAAATGCCCCATACTAAATTTCTGTTGCATTGCGGAGTGTTGAAAAAAACTTGGTAAAATTTTAAAAAGACTGAGAGTCTTTCCATATTAAGACACTGAACGATATAGGTATTGATTAGAAAGTTGTATTACCATGAAGCGTAGATCGGCGATCGGTGGTTGCGCATACGGCACCCCTAGGAATGCATATACAGCGGTTCGGGAGCTATCTGGAAATATTTTAAGCTAAATGAACAGGGAAAGTAATAGAAAAGTATTTAAATATGTTCATTTGTATGTATATATGTATGTATGTACGCGTACCCCTATTATGGGTCCCTGCTCAAGCAAGATATTTATATGCTGACCATTGGCGTATAGATATTCCAAAAATATAAAAGCAATCGGAAGCCAATACAGTTGCATTTTGAAGCAGCCAGAAAGTTTCAAGTCAAATGCCGATTTTTACAAATGTATATGAAAATGTGATTTAGAGCGCGTAATATAACATATTCTTTTTTTGTTTAACATAAAACGCGATATATACTTTATGTTATTGCTCTGAAATGTATCAAAATACTAAAGGTCTTCCTGCTGATGGATAGTGGATGAAGCTCTAAAGTTTGTAATATAAAATTATTTCATAGCAATTACACTTAAATATATGCAAATACCTATACATACATATGTATGGGGGTTTATACATATATATATATATATATACACATTTATATAGTATACCTATGTATGCATATGAATTTTATTGTATTATCGTTTTATATTCTTTTTTAACAGTTTTTGTCACCATCATTGTTACCTTCTTTATATGTATGTATATGTATGCATGTATTAAGGTATGTATCTACACATGTATTCAATGAAACACGCATAATTTTCCGTTGCATTGTTGTTATTGGCATTACCATTGCTGAGTGACCATTGCTATGGTGCAGAACTGAAGTAAAATTAAGTTTACTACCTGTGTGTATATGTACTGTATTAGGGTGCCCCAGAATATACAGATTTTTGCATTCACGAAATTCGATATTCATAGCCGATATTCATTTGTGCGTATGTACATGTCGACACCTGAATATTTAATTAAAAATATCCTGGCCAGGATTTTTTCAGCCAACCCACTCGCAAAATATTTATTAACACGTTGAATTTCAAAGAAAAAAAGAGTTCATTAAACGAAGGGGTGAAGGTCGTGCCTTTGTCGGATCTCAGGCTAATAACTACCTAATATATTTCTAAATATCCTGAATAAAAAGTTTGAAATTTTTTTCGAATTTATAATTTTGGTAGAAAGTTTGCAACTTTGATTTATATGGTTTTTGTTGTGGAACTAACTATATGTTTATAAAAATATATAAACTAAATTAAATAAAAGCAAATTCCACAATTTGATTGAGCTTGGAGCCGTTTTTTAATCAAAAATGGTAACATGGTAGAAGTTATAGTTACTATTTCGGAGTTCACCACATCTCCTTATCAGACTTCTTCATGGAGTTCACTGGGACTTGAACCGCTACAACAACAAAAACAACATCACACTTCTTCATGGAGTTCACTGGGACTTGAACCAGTAACTCCGGCGTATAAAGCCGGTGCTCCACCCACTGAGCTAAGTTCGCCATGTAACGCCACTTTTTCATTTATTAAGGGATAAATCGCAGATGAATAAATCGATATTATGCAAAGTGAAATTACGCATTATTTGCTAAACTCACCAGCTGTCAGAAGAATTAAGGTAAGTAGTTATATTTAATAGAAGATACTCACAACAGTAGCATTTCCCAAATTAATGTAGAGAAAGTTTCACAGCCCAGCATCACAAATAAATAAAACCGGCGATTTCATTGATGCTGGCAATTTTCTTAAGCTGCTAATCACCTATGAAAAATAAATAAAACTATAAATTAGATATGCGCTTAGGCTGTGAGATAATGGTTTTAGGAATAAAAATCGAAAGTGGAAATTGGAATAAAAAAAGCATAGACGCCTAAATCATGGTCTTAATAAATATGTACCTGTATTTTTTTAAGTATCGATTTGAAAACACAGAGTTTGCCACACCCAACCAAAGAATAAAAATCGAAATGAATAACTGCGTTTCTATTCAGGATTTTTTGTTTGCATTTGCAAGAGATTTTAACGCAAACGAGCAGCGTGATTAGTGTCAAATTTATTATATATACACTTTAAATACATATATATATATTTATATACATATATGTATAAGTACATATACATATTTATATTTATATACATTAATTTAACTAAATTATAAACAGTTTTTTATATTGTAAAAATAGCGACCTAAATTAATCACCACTGTGTCATGTCGTCATCAACATCATCACCTGTTAACTTATAAATCTAAATCTAAATTATTGTGGCTGTGACTTATCATAAATAATTTAGATATACATAATTGTGACACTTTTTTCGTTCACAGTCTACATATGCACACATGCATGCATTTCTTTGAACTTGGCGTACAATTACATATAAGTAATTCTACATTGTTCATTAAGTCGCAAGCTACAACTTTAACTTTTCGTCTATCATTGCAATAAATACATTTGATTTGTAAACCTGTAACTACTCTTATAGCTTTCCATATGTATTTTAAATACAAATATGCATGTATGTATATTTTTGTGGCTGATAAACTCAATTTAGTTAAGATTAGTTTTATGATAGCTTAGGCTTAAATAGTGCTAGCTGCCAACCAACTCTATTTGGCGGTACTTCTTACGTAGATTGGACACCGGATCCCGATACAAAACCGGATCAAGGCGTAGATTTGAACGGATCAGTGGCATATAACTGTGGATGTATAGGTAAATTTTATTTTAAAATGACAACACCTTAACTAAAATTCATGTGGTATTTTATTTACCCAAAAACGGCTGCAAATGTATTGAGGCAGCTCTGGCGCTGTATGAAATGATCCGGATCATTCCACGGCGAGTGGCCTGTTTCGCGATCCTTGTACCCTTTGCGCTGTGTCACTTTAATCGGTGGTTTTCTCGTTACATGCGATACCAGTAAATTCATTAGGATATCTTCGCAATTGGATGATTGTTGTACAGTCTTAAGAAGCAACAATGATAGCCAATTAGTGTACAAGTAATTGTAGTATCGATGATAGAAAGCTGCACCAGTCAAAACTATGGAATAGTAGTTAGTCCATTTCGATGTGTAACCCCAAGCGTTCTTTAAAACAGAAGTAAGATTATGTTATCGGCATCAGCGGAACAAACAAATTATTAAAATATATATATATATATATATATATATGTATGAACCACCTTTGAGTCATCCCAGAAGTGAGCTCGCGCTGGATAGCCAACAATACGATCCGGAAAGTCTCGCCAAACTGTATATGCAAAATCCAACTCGTCTGTGTTGAGTATCGAATCTTCATCCAGGGAGAGTACAGCATCTGTTTGTATTTCAGCGTACGGATAGAAACGCTGTGATATGCTAGGACGTTCGTCGAAGAGATCTAAAGTTTCCTCCCTGATATGTTTTGGTTTTTGATTAGCTGCTACTCCCACGGAAAGCATGGTACCATTAAAGAACTTCTCCCCAGCATCGTTTTTCATTGAACGAAAGGATTTTCCCATAGTGGCGCCACTTAAAGTTATTATATGGAATGGTATGTGATTGGTTGTGGGCCATCTTTTCTTTGACGGAATTGGACGATCAGCTGCCCAGAGAACCAAAATCTGTGGAGTAAGTCGTGATGAAAATGCAAATTTAAACCAAGGCGTTATAAAATGTATGTGTCTTACTCTATCTACGAATTGACTTTTTGAAATTGTCTTGATTAATTTGTATAATGCAGTATTTGGCCCCAATACCGAACCAATTTGTACATAAATGACAGCTGTGTAATTGTGACGGGGTTCGACTCCCATGGCATCCAATAAAAATGGCATATATCTGAAAACAAACAAATTTAAAAGCGTCCTCCACGTGCAAACACATATGTACATATATATGTACAGCTGACCACGAAATAATAATAGGAGCGCGATGTTTTGACCAGTTATTATTATTACTTATTATTTTTTTGTATGAGTTTATAAGTTATAAATTAACATTTCAAGCTTTGTACAAAAATTATAAAAATTCTGCTGTTTCACCAAAATTTCAATGAAATAAACTTTGGTTGAAGCCCATTAAATTGCAGTAAAATTAAGTGCAAGTTTCAAGCTACTAAAAAAATCCCGTTAATTTTTGTAAATTTTTTTGGTGGCAGTGTCTTCTATACAAAAGAAAATGGCCCATATTTTGTATGGAAAAATGGGAAACTCCTTCAACCAAAAAAATACTCAAAAATCAACAGGATTTTTTACCAACTTGAAACTTGCACTTCACCTAATGAGTTACAAACTGCATACCAAAATTATTTCTAAATTTTAAATTGTGGTGAAACGTTGCAGAATTTTTATAATTTTTGTACAAAGTTTGAAATATGAATTATAGGTGTTTATTGTATAACCAGCTAGGCTTTTATAAAGAAAAATAAACATTAAAAAATCAAAATAAAAATCGTCAAAACTGGTCAAAATATCCCACTCCTATTATTTTGTGGACAACTATATATATATATGTATAAAGATTAATATTCAAATTACCTAGAACTATCAGCAAATGTTGGAAGCGTTAGGAGAGCTCCTGGCGAGGTATTCCATACAAATGTATTACGAATGGGATAATCTGGTAAGCGTTCGCGTATAATCTATCAAAATATTAACGATTTTTGGAACACAATTATACATATAAACCGAGTATACGTTAATGGCATGAACAGGATTAAACTTGTCATAAAATGAAGCTGTTAAAGATGATCTTTCATTTTCAATGAAGTATGAAATCAAAAGGTCCGAAACCAAAAATGTGTATGTTAGTTGTAGAAGTTCAAATTATAAATGAATAAAAATAAAGTTTCAATTAACAACCTCTCATTTCGTGTATTGTGCGACCTATTTATTTCCTAATAATATTTGAACATAAATTTCAAATCGGATTTTATTCAAAAGTAAATTACATCTAACTATTCCCAATAAAGGAATTTTACACTAGAGACGCAGTGTTACCTACAACACATACATACATATGTATCTACGTACGTACATATCGCACACCATCTTCAAAAGTGACACAACTCAAAATTTGGCATTTTTGAAATTATGCACTAAAAATGTACACAGAGCTTGTATTTCCTTTTCAGCAGAAGCTGGAGCAAATTTTCGTTATAATTTGTTGAAAAAAACCAAAGGTAAAGTCTTCCTTGTCCTTATGATTAGCATGTGCTAAGATATAGTTTTTCGCATTTTCTCACGAACGCGCAATTTTGAGTTGTGTCACTTTTTAAGATGGTGTGCGATATGTATGTATGTACCTACGTAGATATGACATAATTGCTGCTCTATGTGGTGTGACGCGATTAACAAATGAATTGAATGACTTTATGCTAATCCCTGTAGGAAAGTGGAAATATTACATACATACATGTATCCTAACTAATGAATTCAACTGTCCTATTTGAACTGCTTCTTCTTCTGTATAGCTTTCCTGCCTGGCGAAATTGCCCTTTTTTACACTACCTGTGGACTATTTACCTATATACATACAATAGTTCTATCCACCAAAAACTATAGCAAGAATTATCTATTTTTTAAATATCAGAGAGTAAGAACAAAATCTCTCAAATAGAGAAACATGCAACAGCACTTTTTTCAACAAGAATTTGAAACTTTCCCTCCAATAGAACTGTTACTTTGCGCTCTCAATTCACCATTGTTTGCAAACTTATTGGACAGCACAAAGACAATTTGACAAAAAACATGGTAATGCGTACAATGAACAGAACTGTTATTGCAGTCGCCTTTAAAAATATGCGTATATTTCAAAAGGCGAAAAACGAAGTGATGGCTCGGTTAACACGATTCATTTCAATTGGCGAATTCTTGCTTTACTCTGTAGCCAATTTGTATTTGTTTTGTAGCGTATTTGTATTGAAAATTGGACCACTGTGATCCGTGCCACCATGAGAAGCCGTAGCTGATATTAGACGATGTTATATTACATAGATATGACCAGGGAATGGATTTCTAGGACCTAAAAACCTATAAAAAAAGGCAAAATAAAATAACGAAATAGGCTAGAAAAGGAAAAACAAAATACCGAAATAGGCAGTAAAAGGCACTAGAAATCGCATTTTAGAAATGTTTATTTTACAAGTAAAAGGAGAAAACCTATGAACTAGTTTCATTATATGGACCGCTGAGTGGAAGATCGACCTATCTCGGCAGCCAGTTCAAAAACGCCCTAACGCAAAAAACTTTTCAACAACGCCCCCTTTTCAGAATTTTATTGAAAAACACTATCTCAGAATTTGGTTGACGAACGCCCTATATCAGAATTCGATTCAAAAATGCCCTATCTCACTCTCAAAATGGAAAATGTGCTGACATAGGGCGTTTTTGAATCGGCAGCAGAGATAGGGCGTTTTTGAAACGAATTCTGAAATAGAGCGTTCTTCAACCTAATGTATAATGTATGTACTTTATGTATATAAGTAACCTAATTATGTCAAATGTATATAATTTGCATTGGCTTTTCACGAGGCTTTTTTACAGTTACACCTATTACAGTTACACAAAACACTGTATACATATGTGTGAATGTATGTGCATTTAAGCATGCGTACCTGTTATAAACGAAAAAAAATATTTATTATACCTATGCACTGCCCTATTCAATGCACCACACTGTGAATACCATCTGCTTAGAGTATTTATGTACATATGCACATACGTTGTATACTCACCCAACGTATAGATGTATATACATATAAAAGTATCTCCACCAAGAGAGGGAGGGCTTTACATACCACATTTGTCAATGAGTGCGCACTGGTCGCGGCTCTCAAGCTCACTTAATAAAGAGTATTTGCTTCGCCTAATTTCGGCGATGATGATTTCATTTTTTGTTTTGGCCTCCACCATTGGCAGCGAACGCTCAGCACTTTTATTCAGTTGATATTTTTCAGTCAAGCAGAGCAGAAGTGTTAAGAAAGTTGGATACATTTAGTAAATCAACTTATTGAACTTGAAATTTCAGCTAAAATTCCAAACAGTCAGAAACAGTTTATTGTCGCCTCAGTTCAGGGCTTAATACGCAAACCATATCTACACTCGTGCATTTGCAATATAGGCAAATTAAGAAACAAACAATATGTCTCAAAAACGTGTATCCGTTTCCACTCGCGTTTCGCGCGCCTCGACTTCCACACCTGTGGGTGGACAGTCGGGACGCGTTGGAGCCACTAGCCCTAGCGCCACTAGTCCTACGCGCACAACTCGAATACAGGAGAAGGAGGAGTTGCAGCATTTAAACGATCGTCTCGCTTGTTACATCGATCGTATGCGTAATCTGGAGAATGACAACAACAGATTGACGCAGGAACTACACATTGCCCAAGACACTGTCAATCGCGAAGTGTCCAACATAAAGGCAATGTATGAGAAGGAATTAGCAGCCGCGCGCAAGCTACTAGATGAAACTTCCAAGGAGAAAGCCAAACTGGAGATTGACATCAAGCGATTATGGGAGGAAAACGATGACCTCAAACAAAGGTAAGCAATGTGAAAAACCAGTAAAAAAAACAACAAATCACAGGGAATTTCACTTATATATGTATATAAATATATATATCAACCAATTTTAACTACATATGTGTGTTCAAAGCCAGTGTTAGTCAGTGGAAAATGCGAAGACGCACTAAATCAATGATGTCATAGTGATTTTGTTGTCTTTTCTTCACTGTTTTAACAGCACATGGCAGCAAGCGCAAAAATGATAATGAATGATGTCATTCAGAGCAGAGAGCAATAATATAATAGTGGAAGGTAACAGGCAATGTACAAATGCTCATGCATACGTCTTTATGTACATAGGTATATATGTACATATGTATTTACTAAGTAATGTAGCATTACGAAGTGTGTCGAAAGATAGGAGCGAACAAAGTAATTCGTAATAGTTGTTTACATACCAAATTAATGCATATATCAAACTATGTAAATATATATGTACAACCAACATTCGGTGTAAAATCAAGCCAACCCGTTTAAAGCTCAACCGAATTAGTTTGTAAACACTTGCGCGTACATTTACGCACGCACAAAACTTTGTGTATAATTAAATACGGCTGCGGCGAGAATAGAAAATAACAACAAATTAAGCGATTATGAAGGTCTTTTCCCCCTTCAGAAACGTCCATATAGACATAATGTGTTAGTTAGCCTCTGAGTTGGCGTGATGTCATTTAGCCAAAAATAAAGTCGATTACAAGCAAACTAAATCGAAGCATAAGCACAAGGCATAGGCAGACAAAACTATAACAGCATTAGACCAGCATGCATAAATTTATACATACATATGTACACGTATACATACATATATGTAAATAAGTCAATATCACTTCGGTATTTCAAAAGATTAACTCTCTCGCATTTTTGTGACAATTTCACGTTCGCAACCTTGACTCAACTCGCATGTTTATGTACATATATATGTACATATGTGCATACATTTACATATATATAGTACATTCAATGGATTTGTGTATAGCCCATGCCTGTACATTCGTACATATATTCATTTGTCTGAGCTTTCTTCCCAAACTGTTTCGTGCTGCTTATTAATAACACTCATGCATATTTTAAGAATTGATAAACCAACCAACAAATAGACTGTTAACAGGTTCCCATTGAGGCCAAACGAAATTTCCATTGGATATTTTTATGTATTCTCTCACATTCTTTCTTTTGTTGGACTTTTTCGCCCGCTCTAATTTAGCGTGTGCTACAAATCTACGTCTCTAGGCGCATCGATTTAACGTGGACAAAATACTCACGTTTTTCATATGTATTCATAAGACATTAGACGGGAAGGTGAATAAAATACAACGTCTAACAATTGCTTTCTTTTTATAAAAGACATGTGCCTTGCCTTCTCTTCTTCCGAAGAAAGGTATTTGCATTCAAATTGCTTTCATAAAAGACATGTGCCTTCTCTTCTGCCAAATACCATCTAAGATGAGAACACTTTCATACATCAAACCATAAGTTTTCATCAGATTAAAATGAGTATCGCACATAAAACCCGAATTCGTGTTGAATTCAGTAAATATTAATTTTACAAGTATAGCTGAATATTTTCACCCAGGTATACATACATACACATCTACATCCATGTACAATTCTTGCGATGATGTCATCCAACAAACATATGCCTTTATTTTCTTATATTCTTCCAACTGGTTTTAACTCATATATGTACATACATGTGTATGTACTTTTTAATTTAATGTTTATTAGTTCTATTTTTTTTATCTCTATTCTACATTTAATTTTGGAAAATAAACTAATTTCTGTGTTTTCTTTGAAAAATATACAGGCTAGACAAAAAAACAAAGGAGTGTTCTATTGCTGAGAACAGCGCACGTGTATATGAATCTCGCTTTAACGAAGTGAACGGCAAGTACAACCAGGCTTTAGCTGATCGCAAGAAGGCCGAAGATCAAGCCAAAGATCTTGCGCTCGAAAATGACCGGCTACGCAAGCAACTTGATGATCTGCGCAAGCAACTTGAAGCTGAGACCTTGGCTCGTGTCGATTTGGAGAACCAAAATCAAAGTCTTCGTGAGGAACTCAGTTTCAAAGACCAAGTTCATAGCCGGGAACTCACCGAGACACGCTCTAGGCGTCAAATTGAGATCAGCGAAATCGACGGCCGCTTATCCAAGCAATACGAGGCTAAATTACAACAATCTCTTCAGGAGCTGCGTGATCAATATGAAAGTCAAATGCGTGCAAATCGGGAAGAAATCGAATTGCTATATGACAATGAAATTAAAAACCTTCAAGCTGCTGCCAATCGCGCAGCCAACTCATCGGCACATGCCACCGAAGAGATTCGTGTTATGCGCACGAAAATTGACGGCCTTAACGCTAGGATTCAGGATCTAGAAAACACCAACGCCGGCTTAAACGTAAGAATTTGCATTATTCCACCCACAGGTTTCAATATTGTCTAACTAAAAATATTTCGTTTTTTTTTTTTAGACACGCATACGTGAATTAGAAAACCTTCTAGACAGTGAACGTGCACGTCACAATCAATACATAGCTTCATTGGAGGCCGAACTTCAACGCATGCGCGACGAAATGGCCCATCAGCTACAAGAATACCAAGATTTGATGGACATCAAGGTTTCGCTGGATCTTGAAATTGCCGCTTACGACAAACTGTTGTGCGGTGAGGAACGCCGCTTGAACATTTCGTCACCTATCCGTCCGGCAACTAGCACAAATACCGACTCAGGATTCTCAAATGGCACTCACTTATCGGTCAGTTCGACGTCACGTTCGGGCCGAGTGACCCCGAGCGGCCGTCGCTCGGCAACACCGGGAGTTGGTGGCAGCGCAAGTGCAGTAAAGCGCCGACGTACCGTTATCGATGAGTCCGAAGACCGTAACTTGTCGGAATTTTCCGTTAACTCCGCCGCCAAAGGCGATTTGCAGATTGTCGACGCCGACAGCGAAGGACGTTACATCAAACTACACAACAAGGGCAACGAAGAGATACACCTTACTGGCTGGCAACTAACTCGCATTGCTGGCGACGAAGAGTTAGCTTTCAAATTTTCACGTGGTACGAAAATTAATGCTGGTGCTACCGTCACAATCTGGTCAGTAGACGCGGGCGTTCCGCATGAACCACCACAGAATCTAGTAATGAAGAAGAAATGGCCAGTTGCCGATTCAATGCGCAGCGTACTGGCGAATGCCGACAAAGAGGTGAGAATCTTGTCGATTTACAACACTTGTAACAGATGTCACATCTGCAGCCACTGTCATCACTTAGAGTTTCTGATCGACCAGTAAATTAGCCCAATTTTAAAATAATGCCCAGTAACTGTACTTAACTTTTTTTTTTATTTACTTTTCAGGATGTTGCCAGCTACGACCGTGTTCGTTCAAACGTTTCCAGTCACGCATCCCGGCACCGCTCTTCGGGCACCGGTTTTACCCTCGGTTCCGGAGTCGGTTCGACAGGCGTAAGGAGCCTTTTCTCACTACTTTTCTAAATGCCCAACAATGAGAATACCTAAAACGCTTCCAGGCGCTACAGAGAATTCACAAACCTATATACAAGTATATAGCAAAGTTAAATATAGCACAGACAAAAGTTAACTAAACTTTCAAATTTCCTATGTGCATTTAAACATATCCTCAACGTTAAGCCAAGGCCTTCACACCCAGCACAATATACGAAGTTAGCAGTTTCTAGCCAGTGGATGGTTTACAAAGTGCCAGGCTTATCGTAAAAACTATGATAGACTACTTAAGAGTGCGCTACAATTATAAAAATCTTACATATAAATGTATGTATGTGTCAGCAGGATACTTAAATCTTGTAACTATTTACGTTGCTACCAAATGTAATGTACAAACCTAAATGTAATTGAAATCTTTTCACATATATAAAATATGCATTTAAATACGGTTAAAAGAAATTCGACTTTTTACTTATTATTCCTTTCCTCTCATATAAGTATGTATTTGTATACATACTTACAAGAAAGAGACTGGATATTAGAAATATTTGGGGGACTGAACATCGCCGCAAACAGAGGCCAGGTTTTAGGCAATAGGAATTATTTTATAACTTTACTTGGTGCAGTTTTCTTACTATGTATGTATCTGAAGGAAATAATTTCATTGGCAGAATTGAATCACTCGGGTATAACATTTCGGGGATTCGTCCAAATGCCTGCCTAGTTTGTTGCTAGTACAGATCTTTGGTACGATTCTTGGTTAAATAAAGTCTGAGAAGCGTTAATGGAAACAAAAGTGCCCGGGAATACACATTGCCTAATTCACAAAGGAGAGCTCTTAGGTACATACATATTGCACACCGTCTTCAAAAGAGGCGCAACTCAAAATTTGGCATTTTTGAAATTATGCGCTAAAACTGTACACAGTGCTTGTATTTACTTTTCAGCAAAGGCTGTAGCAAATTTTTGTTATAATTTGTTAAAGAAAAACCTAAGGTAAATTCTCCTAAGCCCATATGATTATCATGTGCTGTGAAATAATTTTTCGAATTTTCTGACAAACGTGTAGTGCTTTTTTTATATTCGACATTCTGGAATAAGACTGCTACTAGTTCAGATATTGCTAACAAAGGAAATTATAAGAAGTCGATACTTTTTAACTACATCCATACAATATAGATAAATAAATTCACTAAATGAGGAGGCGTATTTTTAGTAAAAGGAGCATATGGAACAAAAAATGGTAAAAATGATAAGGTCTGAAATAATTATAAAGACAAATGCAGTTATACAGTATTACATACAGTAGCCGACAAAATAAGAGGACACTTGGCTGTCGTGACTATAAATCAATGCAGTATATTAATAAACCAAACTGTATTGTACAAGTAAATATTTACATATGTATTATGGAAAGTAGTATTTATTCAGCTGCAATACAAAGCTACTTACTATTTGAATGAGATAACACGCGGCTGTAAGTGGAATGAGAATTGTGAAATATACAAAATTGACTGAACCGAAAAGGGCTTTGCGGTTTGAAAAACACTACATATATACACTCTACGCTATTAACGCTATTAAAAAGAATTTTAGGTGCACCGCCTGCGTCCCACTTATTGGGCAAAGGGCGAGACGTATGATCTCGGAGTGCTTTACTTTTACCAGCATCTCATACAAGGAAATCGAATGCCTTCAAGAGGAGCATTTTTCTCGCCTGAAAGACCCGCGTTATCTATCTTTCTAGATGGCTCTTGTCATGTCATCGAGCCAAATTGGTACCCAAATTGAAATTTGTCTAGAAGCTGAACATGGTTCATTGAGAACTTATTTTTTCAGACAAAATAATGTTTAGTAGAAAGGGGTGTTTTATAATTGAATTGGACAGGGAAATTTGTTTGCTTCTAATAAGGGCCTTCTAATGTAAACTCCACTGAAATATGTTTGTAATACTTGTATCAAATTAGTGCAATCCAAGGCATATCAAACAGGTAGCAGCATTAGAGCAAAATGAATATTTCCGTGTATTTTCTTTATGCTTCTGGTATCGAAAGTGTCAAAAACTATTGATTTTTTTCTTCTACATCAAAGCGTGCCATGTGAAAAAAATAAATAAATAAATAGTAAAAGATTTAAATTGGAAAAAGTAAAAATCGTTGCAACTTTCTTTCTTCGTAAATTTGTTTGCAACTCGAAGCATTGATTCCTCCTTTGCATGACCCAGTAAACAGCGGTTGTGCTGCTGAGTTAGGCGAACGTTCCAAAATCTGCTATTCAATCGATGGTTTATAATAGATAAAGGTTTCACATGCAAATAAATTTTAACCATTTAGAATTTTTGAGAGAAAAAATGTAAAATAATTGACATTTTCGGGACCAAATAATTTAAAAAATTAAATAAAATCAGCTGCTCTACTCTTACTACCTGTTCAATGTACCTTGGCTCAATCCCAAATTTTTATAATTCTTTGTTCATAAATAAAACCAAATATGTGCATACATACATACATACATATGTCATCGTACATTTTTCACGTGTCCTCTTTTTTGTCTGCTACCATATTAAAATACACAAGTATTTATATGCGGTGTTTTTTTCACTCACCTCAAAGGTAGTAAAGACTATTTTTTCAATAGATCCAAAATAGCGTTCCCAAAGTACTTGCGTCTGCTGTCGTAATGCTAAAATCTTTTCCAATGATATAGAGCGGACTACTTCTGTGACCTGTGTTACAAAAAAAAAAAGAAATGTTCGCTATTATGTATGAAAGTTGAGATATCGAATTTTTATATTTAATGAACGTAAATTAGGACGTTATTGTGAAGCCAAAGAAGGCATATCGCTAGCTTAGAGCCACTTTTTCAAAAAAAAACTATTTTTTAATGCAAGAAGCAAGTGCAATTAAAAATTCATCGTTTCCTAAAATATCTAACTACCAGTTATATTTCTAACCGTATCTCTTCAGTTATACGCAAATTTACTAAATCCAAAATAGTCACAGAAATTGTGTGATATGTTAACGTTGTGAAATTTAATTCGTTTGGAGTTATTTTAGCTTGGAATTCGCGAAATATCGTATTTGCAAAATAAATGACTGAAGAAACTGAGTTTTCGCTAGAAGTGAAATCCCGCTGCAGAGAAAAGTAAACATGAATTTCAGCGACGAAAGGTTCAGCACCCAGAGTTTGAACATGTTTCATGCGTTTGTGTAGAAGAAAAATTAAGGTTCGTCCATGAAACTAATTTTGGTCAAGCTCAAGTGTGCGGTTTATCCGTTAGAAAAACAGTGGACCCCTCGCCAGGCATAGACAAACCACCTTGAAAAGGCTTCTCACAAAACCATTTGCCGTTCGGATGCGGCTTAAAATTGTAGGTGTCTCCATTTGCATTATAACATCCGGACGTACATCAAAAATTAGAGGAGAAGCTCGTTCAACACTTACAACAAAAGTTAACCGACAAATATCAATCAATTAATTAATAAAATTTCATAAATGATAGAATTTTGCGCTTCCTTTCACATTATAAAATATGTTTATATAAATTAAATTAGATGCATTTGATTTTACTTTTACATACATATTATGTTCATGTAAGAAACCTACCTGTAGCAACAATCTTTCGTCAGCCCAGACAACAGCCTCTTTCCAATCGATTTTTGACTCAAAGGGCAGTACCCAGCCATTTGACAGCAAAACCGGAATGCAGCCCGCTTGTAACGCCTCTAGAAACCTTTAAATAAAACAAATAAACGTGCAAATTAGAATAAATAATAATAATAAGGGCGACCAAAGAAAAAAGCAGTGTACATTTAAAGGTTTATTCTTCAAGTTACCGATGATTTTTTAACCGGAAAATTTTATTACCAAAAAAAAAACCTGGTACCACTTCTTCTCCCTGCGATTCTAGGTAAGTTGGTAATGCAGTTAAGATATTCAGCAATTCAGCTATGAAGAATTCTCGAAATTCTGGCATTCTGACATTCGCTATCGCTAATTTTGATCGCCGAAAATCTCCAAAAGAAAAGCAGGCCCGCCTACGAACATGCAACATCTAATTACATGCCCCCCATACTGTCAGCATTGGCTGCTTACACATGGCTTATGTTACTTTTTCATGTTGTATACTTTTAGGCCCCACTGCTTTTCGTCCAGAAAATTTTGGCGACGAAAATTTAGCGTAGCGTTCGTCAGAATTGCACTGCAGCTTATGAGATGGTAATCAAATTTACCGGTTGCAAGAGTACACAGAATGCGAAAAGGGCTTAAAAATTGTCAAGCACTTTATTAACCGGTTACAAAATTTGTATTACCACACAGAATAGACCTGTTATTTAAAAGAAATGGATCTTGAAAACCAATGCGTATACTATGTGTAACTGCAAATATTAGCATTACAGTCACATAAAAGGCGATAAAAATTACCAAACTCCGGATGCATGTATCAATCTGTAAGACTTACCGAAAAGATCCCAAACGTCGCCCGCGAGGCACCAAGCAAAACGTTGAGTTTTGCAGCAAAGTTTCATAGTCATATCTGAAAAATAGATTTAAAAAAAAAAAATCAATAATTGAACTTCAAAATCATTATGTACATATGTACATGCATATTATCTACAGTATCCGTCATATCTATAGCACGCTATTTCCAAGTAATATTGTGTGCCCCTTACGTTCATTTACTTATTTCTAAGAATTTTCAATTAAAATTTAGTTCATTCTCAGACAAACCCCATATATACCCAAGTTCAACAATTTGTAGAAAACTACAAAAAAGGGTAACAAATTTTCACCTAAATTTGAACCTTTTTTCGCGGAAGAGCTAGAATTTTTTTGAGTACACAGTTTTTTAGCCCATGCAATTTTAGTCTGATAATGTGTAAATTTCAAGTAGCTACGAATTACCGTTAATTTTTTAGAATTTTTTTTGTCGCATTGGCTTCTATATAATGAATAAACTCAATTTATTTGTATATGGAAGAAAACCGCAACATCTTTGGCAAAAAAAAAATCTAAAAAATCAACGGTAACTTTTAGCCACTTGAAACTTGCACATTATCAGACTAAAATTGATTGGGCTATAAAACTGTGTATTCAGAAAAATTCAAACACTGCCGAGAAAAAAGTTTGAAATTTAGGTGAAAATTTGTTGCACTTTTTTGTAGTTTTCTACAAATTTTTAAACATGGGTTTGTATGGGTTTTGTTAGAGAAAGAACTGTATTTTAATTGAAAATTCTTAAAAATAAATAAATAAACATAAGTGGCTCACAATATCACTTTGAAATGGCGTGCTATAGATATGACCGATACTGTATATAATATGGTAGTGTACTAGTCAACATACTTGTCATATTCGCGATTATCTTCATCGCATCTGCCGTCCTGTAGTTCACGCCAACTCTTTCCATGTCGACAAGTGGTAACCAGAATGATATCGCGTCCATTGTGCAAATGAAATAATGAGTTTCGTGTTTCAGAGCCAATTCCATGTACATATCTGTAAAAAATCAATTTTAACCAATATTGTGTTTAATAAACAATAAATAATACTAATAAAAAAAATTATGTTAATACAAGACATTTTTTGTATAAATCGTCTCCGAAAACCTATAGTACAAAAAATCGCATTTTTTGCAATATTTTAGAACCTTTTGCAAGGAAACAAAGGTGATAGAACCTTCCACTTAGGCTTTAATTAAAGCTAGAACTACAGACTACTATCCCTGAGAATACTATTCCTGCACCTTGCCCTGATGGTAACCTATACGCATTTACATTTTATCGTCCAACAATAAAAAAAATACTGGAAAATTATGCAATTGAAAAAAAAAATATGTGTACAAATCAGTGTTAGCTGTTCAATAAATAGCTATAGGTGACCTTAGGGTCAAGGTGCAGGAATGGTATTTTCAGGTATTGAAGTCAGTCCAAGCCTTAATTTCAGCCTAAGTTGAAGGTTCTACCACCTTTTGCTTAATTGCGGTAGGTACTCAAGCTTCCCAAAATTAGTTTCTCCTGTTCATCAAATGACTATAAGTGACCATCAAGCAAAGGTACAGGAATTGGCAGGGATAGTAGTCGAGATTTTCAGCTTTAATCTAAGCCTAAGTGGAAGGTTCTACCGCCCTTTGTTTCTTTGCTAGAGCTTCTCAAATATTGCAAAAAACGCGATTTTTTGACACTTTAACCTCGTGTTTCTTAAAATCTGGAGCTGATGGAAACTTTACGCTTACGGACTCGTAATCAGCACAAAAAAATCTGTCAAAAATAGCGTTAACCTTTGCTGCATCAATTTCTTTTCCATTTTTGTTGGTCTGTGTAATAAGTATTGTTAAATAGCAAATATCCGCATGTTTTCGGCGCCTTCAAAAACCTTTCGAATCGTAAAACAGTGACTCAATTCTATTATACGCATATCTATAATTAGGCATCGAAAATCAAGCAAGTCGCACCATAAACAACATGTTTTCGAATAGATCGGTATCTGGTCCACCTATCAACAAAATGTCCTATATGTTAAGCTACCTACGTGCCGAATTTCAAGCAAATCGGACCATAAATACAACTTTTTCGAATAGATCGGTCCCTGGTCCACTTAACGGAAAAAATTGATCCTATATGCTAATCTAGGCAAAAGGCTACCTACGTACCAAATGCATTTTTTTAAGCGTAGCTCGACCCCTGCACCACCTATCGGAAAAATTAAAACTTTGTGCACTCCTCCTTCTAAATACCTTTCCAAAAAAAAGCAGCAACCATTCGCCCATGGGTCCCAATTTATTATGCTCACATCCTAATGCTTATGCTTATCCTAAATTTTCCAAACTTCACATCATCAAAATCATGCGATAAAATACAAAATTTAGTCGAAAAAAATTCAATTTTTTCGCGTTATTCCGGATTTTTCCGAGGTTTTCACTTAGAATTTTCTATTTTTCCATTCGAAAGCCATTCCGAAGGAATTGTACAAAAAAATCTAAACAAAAAAAATCAATTTTCAATTTTTCCGATTTCCCGACTATCCCGGAGTGTTTTCCCAAAATTTTCTTTCGTAAAAACCTTCTCCTGGCAATTACGAACAACTAAAAAAAAAATGTTTGCCAAATCGACCGTTCTCAATTGATGAATTGCTATACATTTTTCACACCATTTTTATATATGGGTCAATCAATTCAAAATTTACACTAAACATTTTTTTCCGCTCAAATTATTTTTCTTTGCATTCTTTGGGTGAAAATATGATACACGTATTTTTTATTTTCATTTGACATATACAGTTTCCGAGATATATTTTTTTGAACTTTAAGCATGCTAAAAAAGAACTTTTTAATATGGTCCTATGCAATAACGGCACAATTCAAAATTCAAAAAATAAAAACTGTTAAGATGCTCTTGTCCCTAATCCATGTCTAATACATTTCCATCCCTTACTAAAGGGAGTAGTGAGGATTGCTAAAGTAAGTACAAAAGATTAGACATGGATTCGACAAGGATTAGAGACATGAGCCACTTAACAGTAGTAACAGCTTTTATTTTTTGAATTTTGAATTGTGTCCTTATTACACAGGACCATCGATATGCTTCCGCGCAAACAAGCATTTTAATAAAAAACAAACTTAATCATCGTACCATTTATAACTTTTTCTTGGCTTTCATGCGAGAATTACGAGAAGTCGATACAATTATTTTTTAATACAAAAAATTGGATATTAAAAAAATAATAACAAATTATTTTTTTTTTTAAAATTTAGTAATGATTTTTTTTTCATTGAAAACTGTTCTTTAAATACTTAAGTAAAACCTGTAAAAATTTCAGAATGGGCAGTTCAAAATTACGCTTCTAATCAAATTTTAAACAACTGCGAAAGCGCTAAAAACGCGCGCTCTCCTTGGCGTGCACCGTCTATCTATGTACTCGGAAACTGTATGTGTCAAATGAAAATAAAAAAATACGTGTATCATATTTTTACCCAAAGAATACAAAGAAAAATAATTTGAGCAGAAAAAAATTTTTGGTGTAATTTTTGCATGGTTTGACCCATATATAGATAAGGAACAGCTGTTCGTAAAGGGCGGTTTCCGACTGAATTTTAGTTTTTTTGCAAAAGTATACATACATATGTATCTTTTCCTGTCATAAATATATCGATGGTCCTCTTACAATAACGACACAATTCACAATTCCAAATTGGATTCAGAGAAGTCATCTAACCGCTTTAATTTTAATATCCGAAACTCGAGTTTGAAAAAATTCCAATAATCGAGCAACCTTGCAGATGCATAATAAAAGTTATGTAATGTAAGTGAATTTTTGACAAAAAAATTTGAAGCTTTAACCTTCTTAAAAAATTGGAGTTTGACTTCCACGTATGAATATCCTCGTTTAGTATATAGTAGTTTGGTTGAGACCCTGACCCTATCAGAAAAAATGCCTAAGTATCGCCCTTGTTTTCCACATTGCGCAGATTCCATGACCTCCCAAGCTCCACAAATCGAGGTTTTCATTTCATGCGACTATTTGATGGCCAATTTGTAACCAAAATTTGACTTTACCATTATGTTTGATGTTCGATAGTAAACATTTGCATAGTTTTTATTATTATAAAGTTTTGTCGAATTAAAAGCTTTGGTTTACACTGCTTAGTAAACGTATATATGTATGTACATATTTGTTCATAAAAATGCGTATGAAATATGCATGTACATACATACATATGTACATATACATAAATCTAAACAAGAGACGAGAACGCGTATGCATATATGAAAACAAAAAGAAAATCCGAAGACACTTAAACACGATACCAACATTAAATACCATTAAATTACCAACGAATGTTACGCGGAAAAAGGAAGACAATAATCCAAGGCATACAAAAGCAAATCCGATATATTTTACAAGCATAAATTTGCTTGTTCCACAATCTGAGTTTTCACATCATTCATATCTGAACTAATGCGCTTACATACATATGTACATACGTACATAAATATACATACAGGTGTAAATGGTACGCAAACGTCCATTCGCCTTAAATCGCAGTTCAATGCAGTTTATTGCCTTGGAAGATTGTACCATGCACCGCTTCGAAGATCTAACGAATGCCAATCGTGAGCGGTGGAAGATATTGGGCTCTATAAATTGAATGCCAACCCATAGACTAAAAATAATGTTGCAGAAATTGCTTAAGCGCACACAACAGGTGGAGAAAAGGCATTCGAAACAATGGATATTTTCTTTGGCAAGTGTTTGGTAAGTAAGCTTCACTACACGCGTAATTAGGCAGCAACTCGAAAGTAAATCGCATTGCTGTTTTACATTTTGCTCTCCGATAATACATAATTTGGATCAATTCTTTGCAGAACAAACAACTGCGGTATCTCGTTTTTCTTTTCTGTTTACTAAGTTGTCGAAAGATCACTAGTGGCAAGGAAGCAAGGTATGTGCATGTATATGTATGTATATATGTATATAAACATTTGCTACATTCTGCATGTTTGGATTCTTTATAGAATACAGCGTCGATTTATGTGGAAACAAATGCACATGGATAACTTTGTAAGTGACATGGCTACAAGGGCATATGCTATGAAGCATTTGCTTTCCGATCTAGTCCCCACCTCACACTCGGTGGTACCAAGTAAACTACTAGATTATTTGCCTTCAGAAACCACCAGAGTAAAATACATTATACGCAACCCAACAACTAAAAAACCTATTAAAATTATTAAAATGCGGCCAAACAAAAAGGTTATTAAAATCATTCCTAAGCCAACAGTTAGTTTGGATACGATGACGACACTTTCACAGGAGAAGACAGTGCCAACATATCTTAGCAGCGATCAAATGGAAAAGCTTGAAAAGGAACAAGAGTTAATTGCCGAAGGGCAATATCCACACAAAATTGAGGATGACGAACTAAGCCATATATCTGAGGACGAAAAGTATAAACAACCATCGAAGCAAGAAATGGATGATCAGCAGAATGGCTGGCTACCCGTTGTTGATACTTCTAATATAGTTTCTTCTTCTTTGTCCGCCAAACCAATAAGTTCATTGCATACTAGCATCATGGCGGAGGCACTGCCAAAACCGGAAAAACATATAGCCGAGAGCCCATTTTTGACCAGCTATGGACAGGACTCGACCACCTATCAGCAAAGTCACGATTCACTCGTTCTGAAAAACTACTACGACCAAGGGCCACAGACAAATGGTTATGAAGTGACGGAGAACGTTGCAGAGGAATCTATAGCTTTACCATTGACACAAGGTTCCCGCATCAATGTTCGAATAGGTTCAGCTCTGCCTAGACACGCTGTTAGCCAATCTTCTTCCAATGTAGGTAGCAGGGACAAATTTACACCAACAACCCCAGCAAGTGTTTCTACGGAGGAGCCACCAAACTACCCACCCAATTTCTTGCGACGCTTTCAGGATCGATCAAATGCAGCTGCAGTGTCGCCATCGCCTGGTGCAACAAGCTCTGCCGCAGT